CCCCCTCCAATCCTCCAGCGCTGACTGGAGGAACGGACAGGGCAGGGGGCGGGCACAGCTGGCTCGGCCTCTAGATTGACAGCGGGCTCTGGATGGATCTCGACAGCATTGTTGGGATCCATCCTGGTTGTGATGCTCTCAGTATATAGCACTCAATGTCCTGCTATATACTGAGCTTTGGGTGACGGGAGGGGGTTAGTATATGTCCGTGACCCTGAGGAGAACTGGGGCGGGGGGCGGGAAATGTTACCCTATAGTTCTTTTTTTTAATCCTTTGAGTATGGTTACAAGGTATTGAAGCAGCATTAATGTTCATTTGTAAAATCTGTTTATGGCATAGTGTTTAGCGACAGTAAAGGTGAGCTATCCCTTTAAGAAAATTTGTATGCAGTGAGCCATGATGCCAAACACACTTGTGTGGGTTTGTGCGCACTGTGCCAGTGCAGCCCACGGCTCAGTCTGCCCGCGTCCAAGTATCTCCGTCATGGCACATTAAGATGAAGGCAGCTATAGAAAGCCCGGTCTAATCCTCGTCTCACTAATACCACGGACATGGCACAACTGGGCTGTTCTGTTGCGTTACGTTCATGCAAAACCACTTGGACCTCGTTCTGTTCACCCAAAAAATAAAAATAAGAGATTTAAAGGCGGTGACCACATAGAGAAGCGTTGTTGGCAATGCCGGAGTGTTGGCCGCACACAGAAATGAAACATCTGAGAAATGTGACGGAGAACAGCATCGCGCTTTCTCTGGCGACTTCCAGACATTCATTTTGTTAATGGAAAGGAAACTTCCTGCGGGAGAATTGTATGGTCTGCGTTTTCAGAAAATGCCACTGGCCTGACTCGTGCTGATCCTCTGGCTTCAATACTTTGTGTCACTGACCTAGAGCAAGTGTAGAGATCAGGCGTTTACTTGGTGCATGCTTGTTCTGGCAAATCGCACTTTCAGGGGGAGGTTGGGACCCGTGTATTAAAAAAAAAAGAGGATATTGAAGTGATCAAGGAGGGATCACGACAAGCAGCAGTATTAATGAGGGTCGGAGAGTCAAAATGAATTACAAAATGATATAAATTTATTAATAAAATCTCGGTTAGCCTGAATGCTCCAATTAACAACCACCTAATATCTAAAATTGGTTATTGCAACAACCCTCACTCATACTTCCAAGACCCGTGGGACCCGTGTATTCACTCGTTTTATGTGCAGTCACATCAGTCCCTGACTTCAAGGAGCTCGCAGTCTATTTCTCACACACATTCCGCCTCCTTCAAATCCCACCAGAGATTTTCTATGGGGTTCAGGTCAGGTGACTTGTGATGGCCACTGTAGAATCTTCCAGGACAACTTCTGCAACCAAGCCTTGGTGGGATTTGAGGTACGCTTGGGATCATTGTCCTGTTGGAAAGTCCAATGGCGCCCGTTCTAACTTGAACCCCGTAGAGTAGGGATGCACCGATACCAGTTTTTCACTGACTAGGGAGCATGGAGCCGGCTTTTTGGCCAATCGGGAAGCGGTGGGGTGGGTAATGACTCGCCACATGGCTTCCTGATTGGTCGGGAAGCTGGCCAATCAGGAAGCCAGGCGGTGCGTTATTACACGGCGCCCGTGTTCCTAATTGGCTTGGAAGCCTGTTCCATGCTCCCTCGTCACCAGGTGACAAAGGAGCACGAAGCCGGCTTTCTGGCAAGCCAGGGGGGCAGGTAATGACTCGCTGCTCAGCTTCCTTTTGGCCAGCTTCCTCACCAATCAGGAAGGTGGGTAGCAAGTCATTACACGATGCCCGGCATTCTGATGAGGGAGCATGGTGCCGGCTTCCCGAACCAATCAGGAAGCCACCTCCATGCTCCCTAGTGACGAGGGAGCATGGAACTGGCTTCCCAGCCAATCGGGAAGCCGGGCAGCGTGTAGTGACTTGCCGCACGGCTTCCGGATATTGGAAGTTACTCACCCAAATACTCTGTATCGGCACCGATACTGTCACAAGTATCCGGTGCGTCCCTAATTTGAAGGCAGCGGTTGGGTCACGCAAACCCAAGAATACAGGTGAAACTCGAATAATTAGAATATCGTGCAAAAGTAATTGCAGTAAGTGCTGCAAAAGGGGCCCAAACCAAGTACTGAGTACATATGCATGCTTGTACTTTTCAGAGGTCCGATATTGTTCTATGTACAATCCTTGTTTTATTGATTGCATGTAATAATCTACTTTTTTGAGGTTGTGGATTTGGGGTTCTTGGGGTTTTCATGAGCTGTAAGCCATAATCATCACAATGATGACAAATCACGGCTTGAACCATCTTGCTTTGCATGTAATGAGTCTATCTCATATATTAGTTTCACCTTTAAGTTGCATTAGTGAAATAAATGAACTTTGCACGATATTCTAATTGAGTTTCACCTGTATTAGTGAACTGGAGGCCATTGCTCTAGAGGAACCGGTTAAGATTCCTCAAACGCTCCCAGAAGCTTGTGTCTGGCTATGCATCTCGTCTACAGCAGAAGGAGCTCTACTAAATACTAAAAGATGTTTTCCTTGAAGGAGTTGAAACATTCGTTGTGTTGACCTATTTCAATTGCTTTTGTTTGCTGAAAGTCTGTAAATTTGGCCAGTAAACCTGATTTGCGATGGGGGGGGGGGGGCGCGTTTGAATAATTTTGTTTACAACTGCAGGGACAGCGGACCCACATGTAGGTGCATCAACATCAGAGGATGACCGTCATTGGCTTCTTGTAATTCATTGAACTTTGTGATTTCAGTAGGAGAGATGTTCTCTGCCATGTGTGACTGCCAGGCTCTGCACCCCGACCCTGAAGATAACGACTCGGATGATGATTTTGAAGGAGAAGAGTATGATGTGGAGGCTCACGGTGAGTTCAGCCAGAGTTAGGCAATACTGGGCCTATTCACGCTTATGGTTTTCTTTGGTGTTTCTGTATTGAAATCAATAGAAACTCATCCCAACTTTTGTCAACGCACATGTTTAGGATGCACATTGAAACACTTCAAGGTGCTTTAATGACAATCTGTACTCTCCTTCAGAGATGTGAAGTCCACGAGCTCCCTCACCAATGCAGACATCTTCTGTCTGGTTTCCCCATCTGTCCATTTTAATTGGCCTGACTAGGATGGCGTAACGCACGTGCAGCTCAGTGTACTTTCATGATGTTTGAGGCGAGGACGTTAAGAATACTTTATTGCAGAAGAGGCGTAGTCGTTCCTCTTATGTGATATGACGTGTGTTGACATCCAATACAGATTGCACTGCCACTTGTATTCACATGAGTTTTGATGTGTATCCAGTTATTTCAATGGGACGGGGGAGGAGGAGGCTGCAAGGCCGAAGTTTATCTTCCCCCCACAACATATCCCAGCTGAGCGCTTTGGGAGATGCGTGATTGAAATATAAATGGCGGTCCAGACTGCAACCGCTGACCTGCACTGGATTATGCCTGGTTGACAGAGGTTACACTAGCCCTCAAAACCGGTGCATCCACTACCACCCATAACCCTCACTTTGTAGAGACCTCTTCTTACTTCCTGCTTGTATCTCTAGGGCAGGAAATGAAGGGAAGTCTTCTTAGGCAATAAAACACTGACTGGTGCTAACCAGGGCTGTAGGAAGGGCGAGGCACTCTCCTCTGGCGCAGCTGTGAGGGGGCGCAGCCAGGCCAGCCTCTCCCCTTGTGCCCCCACCGGCTCCAATGCTTATTTTTTCCTTGGATCCCGTGCTGCCCATACAGGCCGGGGGTGAGAAGCTACAGGCTGTACCTCCCCCTCTGCGTGGCCGAGCGGCTCAGGATGGCAGAGCGGAGGATTGGCAAATATCGGTGATATATACTGGTCCTCTTTGTGCTGAGCAAACACTGGAGTGATCAGCTGGTCACTCCAGTGTTAGTACTACGTGTACCCAGTTATTCACAATGTGTCTCCAGTTGTGAATGAACAGGAAGTGCTTCACATCACTTCCTGTTCATTCATGAGTTTTTGGGTTGTAGCACGCACTATAGAGGTACCTATCAATTCATAACTGGATGATAATAAATATTTTACTATCCCCAACCTCTGTACTGAGAGCTTTCCATTCATTTAGAATACGGGGCTGCAGAAAGAGATTGAGGACTCTGTGTCCAATTTCTATTTCAACAGAAAAATATCTGTTTAATTTCCCCCCCCCCCCCCCCC